GCTACATGACCCACAGAATTCCTGTCCAGCCTAAAATAAGAATTTTCCTTTTTCTCTAACATTTCAATGAGAAAAAATTCCAATGTGAATTTATGGTACATGAGAAAATATGTGAGTCAGTGTAGAAAATGTATATAAATGTGCATGACCTGAATGAGTCTGTTTCCAGTGGACTGGTTTCCTGCTGGAGCAACTCTCATGGAGTTGGTCCACATCAGCAGTTTAAGCTGGTTGTTGGTTTGGGTGCGTTTGTGCTGTGAATATTTCCATACCACTGTGATGCTTCCTGTCTCATCTCTGTCCCTCTGTGTAGAACAATACGGTGTCCATTCATCTGTCAGAGTATCATCTCAAATCAGTTTGAGGGTCTGTAGTCAGTGGCTCAGTGTATGCACAAATCGATGGCTTTAGACATAGGGAGAAGGCAGATTTTAGAGTCACCTTCACGCATAAGGAAATATCCTCCCCTGTTATTAATATGTCATCTTGTCGAGGAGATTTCTTTTCTTTTTCCATAGAACTGTCATAGTCACTCCAGGAAAAAAATATATTGTTAATAAATAATGCACTCTGAGTTGTCACCTGGAGGGGGAAAAAATCACATGCAGTAAAGAGAGTAGTTGTTACTGGATGAGTGCTCGAATGATTGATTACAATCACAACCTTCCCCAGAACTTCCTCCGGAGTTACGGAATGATTAACAGCTGTCTGCTCTAATGTTTGTAATTTCTTTGCCTGTGAAATCTCATTGAATCCATAACAAAGCTTTGGAAGCAGTGATGAATTTGCCCATAGCACTGTAAAAACTGTAGCACTGCAAAAACTGGAAAAGACATAAGCTTCTGGAGTGTATTATAAGGAATACTCAGCAAACTGAATTGGTTATGTTCCTTTTAAATAATACATTGCTGGGTTGAATTACCTGGGGACCAAGTCAACACCTTGAACTCTTGTTCATGTTCCTCAAACCAATCCTAAACAATTTTTGCAGTGTGGTGGGGTGCATCATGCCCTTAAAGAGGTCACTGCCATTGGGCAAATTCATTGCTGTGAAGGGGTGTACTTGGTCTGCAACAACGTTTAGCTAGGTGGTACGTGTTAAACCAACATCCACATGAATGCTGGGACCCAAGGTTTCCCAGCAGAGCATCAGCCACAGCATCACACAGCCTCCGCCAGCATTCCATCCATCCAATCAAGGTGTAACCTCTTCTCCAGGCAAATGATGCACACGCACATGGCCGTCCACGTGATGTAATAGAAAACCTGACGTATCAGACCAGGCGTCCTTCCTCCATTGCTCCATGGTCCGGTTCTGATGCTCACGTGCCAATTGTAGGTGCTTTCGGTGGTGGACGGGGGTCAGCATGGGCACCCTGACTGGTCTGCGGCTGCGCAGCCCCATATGCAGCAAGCTGCGACGCACTGCGTGTTCTTCAAGAACTGACTGTTTACTTGCATAATATGCAATGGCACCCTTGACAGGCGCCATTGTAATGAGATAATCAATGTTGTTCATTTCACCTGTCAGTTTAATGTTATAGCTGATGGGTGTGTAAATATCAGTAAGTTCACCTTGCACGAGACAAGGCAGATGTACCTTCCACGGGTTGTCATATTACCACTAGAGGGCTCTCCTACTCAAACTGTTTTCTTTTTCGTGGCATCAGTCATACCCATCAGACTCTTTTAATATATTCATAAATATAAAAACGAGTTAACTTTACCTATTACAACTAGGCCCTGTCCAAATTAATCACTTGTCGAAAGAGGCCAACCAAAGCCAAGCGATCTATTTCAATAGATTTAATGATAAACCACGATAATTGCAATGACATGTTTATGGTGACCGCGTTTCAGCTACGGGTAGTAATGTAGTCGTTACAGCTGAATAAAAGGTGAACAACGAAAAATGTAATGTTTTGAACGATGTTTCTGCATATCCATCTTTACAATCTCGGAAAGAGGCCTATCGTTTAGCCAGCGAAAGTGGTTTTAATTTGTTCAATTTTTATTTTCAAATATTCACTATAGATCATACGATGTTCCTTTCTCATTATCTCTGTCCTATATTCGCATTTTTCTTATACAGGCTTATTGCTTTCGTTTACCGTACGGTGCAGTTTTATTTTGGGCTTAGTAATTTATTTCAGTTATCTGAATGCAAAGAATTCTCTGATTTTGTTTTCGTAGAAATACATCCGCACTACAATCCTATATTAGTGAAATCAACTACACTGCCTTTATCTTAGCACAGAAATAAATCAAATTCTACAGAAAAGGCAAATACCCAAAAATGGAAATCATGGCAAATTACTATAATCCCTATATACTAAATAGCCAAGTAAATACAAGTACCTGTAACTTTAATTGTGTCCATTGATATGAACACTCTATACTAGCTTAGTGTAATCTTGTAACTATACCTAAACCGACACCTAGGGAGAGCAGAAATGTAATAGCACCCAACCCAAGAGAGAGCCGATCCTGCGGTGTCCATGTGTGTTCAATAGCACTTTAGGTTTCGGATTCTGATGGAGGCCGAGCTGGGGGCGACACCTGCTGGAGGGTGGCATGTTTTGTGGTGGTGAGTGGATGCTGTAATTGGCGTCATTTGGTGTGTTAATTCGCTCGACCCCCCTGCAGGGTCACTGACGCCAGAAACTGGCCGCCTGGCTCATTGTAGACTGGAGAAAAGCTGGCCCTTCCCCTAAAAGTTCAAAGACAGACATCTTACTATACTCGAGATAAATATTATTTTGCATCCGTTCGCTGCCGAAGCCGGAACCGGTTGCTCCATATGATATGATGCTGTTATTTCCTTCGTTTTATGTTACTTAATTTATAATAGGCCTGTATACTAAATATATACCTAATTATACACGTAGCCTATATAATTATATGTTAGTTTATATGCATTTTTAATTTCATGATACAATACTCTTCGCTATATTGTACTAGACATAGTGACTCGCACATTACTACACCAGAGGGGGGCGAAAGACTATCCCAGTCCTAAAACCGCATGATGTGGTTCACAGATCTCATTCGTAAACTAAATAAGCGAATCATTTAATTCGTTTGAAAAATGAGTTCTGAACAGTTTGTGTAGTGAATGCAGTCAGTTTCTTAGGATAAACTGGGCAGCGCGTCTCTGTAAATCCTCTCGGGCTATAACCATCTGTTTTAGCTAAACTTAGGTCAATCGGTAGCAAGAAGCTTCATCTTAAAGGAATGAGGTTTCTAGCTGCTATAGTATTAAATATAACGAGGGTTTGTGGGTTGGTATGCTCCGATGTATTGGTGTTGTGCAGTAATAGCTGCGGCTGCGGGTGGCATACTTTCAGTATAGATAGGAGAATCCGTATCTATAAGATTGCAGACGCTGTTTTTGTCATTTTCGGTTTGGGTGCAAGAGAAATTCGCAGCATTCAGAAATGACTGGATTTCATTCCCCTGGAAGGTGTAAATTAAAAGGCATGTCTGTCGGGGCTAGTCCCAGGTTAAATGCATCCAAAGCCGCTTTTTTACGAACAAAGTGCACTTTCCACTATTATACCCCATAACATCCTGCACTATAGCGGCCCTCACCGACGTACAGGGCGAAGCTGTTGCGTAATCGGCTGCAGTTACGGCATGCAAAGCCCTGCCCTAACTTCCATAACGTGGCGAAATTTGGGAGACATCTGTGCAAAAACGTGCTACACGTCTAAATAAGGTTGATAATTAAAATAATAGTGTAATTCAGCTAAATAATATGATTGTTTTCCAACATAAGATTTCTGTTCGAGCAAGCTTAACTGGCAATGGGAATTAATACTCTAAAGCCGGGAACCATATCGTATTGTGGATAACACCATTTACGGAAAACTATTGTAGGGCAACGCCACCAGGGGGGATATACCCCCCCCCCCCCCCCCCCCCCCCCCCCCCCCCCCCCCCCCCCCCCCCAAGGCGCGTTCATTTCATAGTCACGCATTAATGGTAGGGGGTCTTTAACCTGTGTCTATTTTCATTTCGCTGTTCCTCCATTGAAGGGCTCAAAGATAGAGTGAAATGTTTTGTGACAGCAAAACACCGTTACCAGTAACACTGCCATTCCTCCCAGTTTCTCTACAGACGTAAGCGAGCTCCATTTCAAACAACGGAGTGTCACAAACTGATCGACAGTAAAATCGCCTCTTCTCCTTTTTGGTGGGCAGAATCCGTTTTGTAAAATCGTATTCGATGTTTTATAATGGCTGGCTGGGCGCATAATTTGCTGCTAAAGTGGATGGCATAATTTCATAATTAACCCGTCAATTTTAGAAACGGTCGGGTTTGTTGTTGCGGTGCTCTCCAGGGTGAGAGAGATGGCCCTGGGGAGAGATCACAGGTCATTGTTTAACTCCTAATCCCATACCCACTGCCCCGCCCCGTCTATTATTCAGACTAATACAATTCAGCGTACGGTATTGTCATTAAAAAAACAGCCGTTAATGCCGTAAGATTATAATTCTTTAAAACTGCAAATAGTTTACATTTTACGCATATATAGGCTACTAAAGGTTATATTATGCATATAGAAACCTTCGGGCTCCCCAAACGCTCCGTTAAATATGTTAACCTTGCACACAGTACAGTACTGTAGTCCACCAGGGAATTGTTCAATACATTTTAAAAATGAGGTTCTGGAAAGTGATATATTATATAAATGGTATATATGTATGTATTTATACACACGTGTGTATATAAATATATATTTGCAAATGCATATATAATATATATGTATAGAAACACATATATATTTATATAAGCTTATTGCACTTTGCATCCCGTTATGTTTTAAATAATCCATTTATGGAACCGCCCCTGCAAACCATGTCACGTCTATAGGGTTAATAAGACATACAGTTTAGAAGGGGGTGGGCTCATTTCCGGGACTGTCCAATGGCGTGCAGCAGCTCTAATGACTGACGGGCCGCTCCGGCGCTGGCCGTATAAGGTACGAGGTGACGCTGAGGAGGAGGAGGCGCGCTGCGTGCGACCGAAGCTTCTCTCCGTGCGCGACCGCAGGAGCTCAGCGCTGCACGAAGCATGGATGTCCCTGCCAAGCCTGGGCTTCTCCCGCCATTGTAGCGACCGAGGATTGCTCCCTTTTTCACCCACCGTTGTTGTCTCCCGGCTACTCCGCGCCCGTATATCCTGCTAGAGCGCCGGCGGCCGGACGCGCATCTTTTGCATGCGGCGCCCCTCCCAGCCGTGCGCTCCGGTAACAAGACGGCGTCGCAGTTTCTCTGCTCCCGGAGACCTCAGCCTCCGCTCCCCTCGTTTTCCCTCCGACAGGTTGCATGCTGAAACCTGTTAGCCAGCTTTCTTGGCAGAAGACGTTCGCTTTCCTACATGCCTATCTGTGTCATTTTTGGGTGCCTGCTCATCAAAATCCAGGCGAGGATCGTCGTGCATGGTCTCAAAATCTGAATACCCTGGTCTCCTGCATTTTTTTTTCCATCTGATTATTAAAATTTTCCAGAATGCGCCTGCAGTAAGAAACCCGGGAATTGAAAAAGCCGGGCTCTTTTTTTACACCTATCAGTCTCAAGGATCCGGCGTTTTGGGGTGTTGCTTTTGGACGTTTTTGCATCTCGGGGACCGACATCACCGAGTGCGGCATCAGGGGCAGAAGACGGCGTGATAACGGCCATTCGTCTCTCTTTATTATAAGACCCTGCAGCCCCCGCCCTGACGGGTACCGATTTCCGCAGTTTCATGTTTCGCCAGGAAATCAGTGTATTATCTTTCATTCCGTCGTGTTCATACCTTTTCCAATACGAGAAGAGGAACATGTCCCGGTATAACATCTACAGCCTGCTGGACTGGGTCTACGGTGGCGTGGACCCCAAATTCGAGGGCAATGGGGGCCCCGAGTGCGCAGCATTTTTGAGCACGCACCAGCGCCTGGTGGAGAGCCTGCTGATAGTCATCATCTCCATCCTGGAGGTCGCCTTGGCGCTGCGCAAGATCAACGTGCCCAGGGAGCTGAGGGAGGTGGCCCGGGACCCGGGCAGGTCCAATGGGGACAGCCTGGGCAAGAACCTGTTGCTGGTGGCGCTATGCATGACCTTCGGGGTGGAGGTGGGCTTCAAGTTCGCCACCAAGACCGTGATCTATCTGCTGAACCCCTGTCACGTGATCACCATGATCCAGGTAACGGTAGCAGCATCTTTTGGGATCTTTGCGTTTTGCAGTTGCGCCCGACATGTATCCGTCAGCTCTTCTTTGGCCTGCTTCCCCCCAGTAAAGCATTCTCCATCATCTCTCTTGGAGATGTTGTGAACTGGCTTGAACATACATCAGTACAGACGCTCCCCGGGTTACGATGGTCCGTGTTACAATATTTCGACTTTACGATCGGTAAATGTTTTTCACTTTCAGTACATTATTCAATAAATTACATGAGGTAATCAACACTTATTTTTTTTATAAAAAAAAAAATAAAAAATCTAAATTAGCCTTTGTGTTAATAAATTTCCCCAACTGTATGCTAATGTAAGTGTTCTAAGCATGTTTAGGGTAGGCAACACTCTCAGAAAGAGGGTACCAGTTTGTGATTTTGCTTGTCGCTGGGGCTATACCTGTTAAGGTACGGAAATGGACTCCCCGAGATACAAGCAATATTAATCTACCCCCAATGGACACAGTCCATTTGTGTACCTGAAAAGGTACAATTACACACAACTAAGGGTACAACTGAAAGGCATTTGAGGGTACAGTCCCAGTGACAAGCAAATTGGCACTCATGTCTCTGAGAGTGTATATGCTTGGCTATGATGTTTGTCAGGTTAGGTATTCTGTATTAAGATGTATTTCTGCCTTACGATAGGTTTGTCGGAACGTAACCCCATGGTAACTTGGGGAGCGGCTGCATTTTATATCTGCGATAAAAAAAACGGAGTACAGCTATAAATGAGAGAAAATAGCAGTGGTATTAAGTTCTTGTAGTAATAAGCGCTGAAATTAAATTTGATACTATGTGCCACAATTTTATTGCACCGATTTTGCTTTTGGGTTTGGTCCCGTGGCCTTAAAACTCTCGTATTTTAGATACCGGACTATAAATTGGCGACGCTCCTTAATACCCTAAACGGCGGCAGTTTCAGAAGCTTGTTATCCGTGCTGGGGTGCATTTTGTTCATGAAAAACAGCAGCGGCCGCCATGCACTGTTGCTGTCTGACTTTTTTTTTTTTTTTGCACACTGAAAACCTTCCAAAAGGCCGTGCATGTTATTCTTCCGGGAATGAGCCGGTCGCCTTGATCTCCGTCTCTAGCGTCTCCCCTCTTTTTTCGGAAAGCCGATAGGTAAAAAAAAATCTATTATTCAGGTTGTGAAACAAAATAAAATTCCTGCCAAGTCTGTGGCCTCCAGTCCTCTGCTAGACTGTCAGAGACCATAAATCGATATCCACATCTGACAGGCTGAAATTGATTTGATGGAATATGTCTGTTCTTCTTTCTTAAAGTATTTTGATAAATTGATGTCTATTTTTATAGTAAATCATTGGTAGTTTTTAAAAATTAAAACCTGGTATTTTTTTATTTTACGCAATTCAATCAATATATAGTGAGGTATATTTGTGGATTTTCCAAATGGGTAGTACAGGGAGCCTAACCATTTATGGAGATTGCAGGCCAGTTCGGTGTCATGATACTTAGTTTGGACACTTCACTGGTGCCTATGGTTGAGATAATTGTGACGGAATGCTGGGAAATGTACATCTGATTCCGGTATTTATAGCTAAAAAGCTTCCAGTTGTGGTGAATGTAGATAGCAGGTATTCAGGTGGGAGAGTCGCCCACGCACAGAAGGTTACCGGCCCGCAGCGCTGAGGATCACCTTCCGCCTGTGACCTCACCCTGGATGGTCAAGCGCAGCACGTCCTGTTCTCACGATCAGCTAGTCTCCAGGGCCGGCAGGGTGGGTTGGGGGTGTGGCTGGTTGCTGGTCATCAAATCCGGGTGTTAGGGTGTGTCGTAGACCGCAGTCCGTACGGATAGTCCCAAAAAAGGGTTGCTGACTGTCCCATGGGGCTCGTTGTCCACTGGCCTCACCGTTGGGTTCTGTCTGGACCTTGGCCAAACTGGCTGAGTTCCCCCCCCCGGTTTTGGCTGGCGGGCTGGTATTAGGCCGTACCTTCCATGTCAAAGTGAACCATCACTAATGAGCAACTGAAAAATTAATATGACATTCATGTAACAAACACAGACTGTCTGTAGTTAGGGACTCTCTCTATACAGGCTGACGGATGCTGGAGTATTATTTACTGCCATGAGTATTAGTGATGGTTAGACCCCCTGCTCTTTGAGTACCGTTGCATCTTATTGGGTCAAACGAGGCAGCAGGTAACCGAGACAACCCATCCTCCTATCACCTCTAGGCCTGTTGGACTAGAGCAGGGCTCTTCAAATCTGGACCTCGATTCCAAATCCAGGCCTTGTTTTCAGTTCTTCCAGGTAGCTAGTTTAATAATTACTGATTCTGATTGGTCAGAGGCTTCACACCTGACTGACAGGTAAAGGAAGGCTGGGAAATCAGCAGTGCTCGGACCTCGAGGACCGTGATTTGAATAACCCTGGACTAGAGTATATGCGTGCAGGGAGAACAAGCTCGCTCTCTCTTTCTAACTAACATGCAAACACACAGAGGATTCAAACCGTGATACTGGGGCTGCCCATCAATGTTGCCTCACACTGTATCAACTTGAACTCACACGGTTCAAGCCCAGCCTCAGCACGTCTGCGGGTCCTTGAGCAAGACCCTCAACCCCCAGCTCCCTGGGCGCCGCTACGGGTGGCTGTCCTTCGCGGACAGCTTACTCTACAAAGAGCAAGTTGAGGGAGGCGTAAAAACAATTTCCCCACGGGGATCGATAAAGTATCAATTATTAATTATTATTATTATTTATCACCCTGCCGCTAATTACGCAATGTTGAAAATGTTTGTTCTGAGAAAAACGTATAAAGTTCCTGTTTCTTCGTTCTTTTTTTGGACAACAGTTGGCCCTTAATCTAATGATCAAAGAGACGCACTAGGTTCAGAAGTGTGAAATCTAGAACATCCCGGCTAAACAACTCTTTCTTCCCCACTACAATCAGACTCCTAAATAGACGACCTACCTCATTTACATAACAGATCACTTTGCATATCATGACCTACCTCATTTGCACAACAGGTCACTTTGCACTTTAAGCTCTTTTTGCACTATTTTTCTCAAGTATGCTCTTTTGTACTTGTAATTTAATTTAACCTGGCATTTGTGAGTGGACAGCAAAGTAAGAATTTCATTGTACTGAGAAATACTACTTTTCTGTACATATGATAATAAACGCTTTGAATCTTGAATCTTGAATCTAGTGAATGACAAGAGTGAATGCAAACATGGCTGCTTGGCCCAGTAAGTATTGGGTCTTGGACAGTGATTTATTTAAATACTGAAATGGCAGTGAAGACACTCCCATGGAGTCATTCGGGACAACTCTCTTATACTCCCTCGACCTTTTGCTATCGTGACACATTTGCAGAAATCAGCTGCCATCTTCAGATAGGGCCAAAGCCAGTGTGATAATTATCCTCAGCTAGGGAATGGAGATCCTCGTCTTGGGTTCTTGCCGGTCACGGGTTCTTGCCGGTGCTGAATCAGCGGGCATCTGCTCACGGTAATGGGGGACAGGGCAGGGCATCGGTCACTGAGGACTGCGGAAGCTGGCACCATCTGAATGAACATCCCTCAGAATTAACAATCATCCGAGGTGAAGATCAGATGAGCCTTTGTTGATCCCTGGAGGTAATTGTCAGAGAAGCAGTCGCCCCATTCAGGGCTCGAACCCATGACCTTGGCATCATTAGCATCCTGCTTTATCCAACTGAGCTAACCAGCCGAGGTGTAGATACCGTTTTCATTTCTCTGTGGTAATTACCAGCACTGTGATTTCGCTGTGTTGTTGATGTATAAATGGAGACAACTATACTACTTTGAAGGTCTGATGCCCAACCTGAGGTGGCCCATCTTCCCCTGCTAGGCCGTCTAGGCCGAGTCCCTCTGGGAGAATCTGGACCAGCCCTGACCTTGCTGCAGAACCAGCAGACTTCCCAGCTAAAATACTCCCCACCTAGGAGACCATTAGTGTTGGCACAAGTTTTTTTTGTCCTGATTTCTAATTTTTGCCCCTAAGATGTTTATTTCTGGTGGCATTTTGGGGTTTAAGGAAAAGGCTTTGCTGAATCGATCGCCATGACCCAGTTTCTTTAAAGGGTGCTTATTCTATTTCTTTCAGATGCCCAGCACTCTCATAAATTAGCTTTCTGAAACGTCTCCGGTTGTAATCAAGCATCCTGGTTCACGCTGCATATGGCATGAGAGAGTCGTGCAGGTCCGTATCCTTCAGATCTAATCTGAATTCCTCTGTGCTCATAGTGACGACGTGCCGATCAATATCAGAGTTAAGCCAGCCTGCTGGTTGCCTGTATGTAATTTTCACGGAGAAAGGTCACCTCTGTTTACACACAGTTTAGTGCACGCCCTGTGGTTTGAGGTCTGTCAGTTGGCATCTGTGGACTTGCTGCGACGAATAGCCGAATTTACTGACTCGGTAAATCTTCCACCCTCCTCTTCCTCTGATGGACGAGGGCTGAGCGCTTTTCTTCCAGACCGTTACTGATGATGTAGGTCCCTGTCTTGTCTATGTCCCCAAGGACAGGACGCCGAAGTCACTCGCACAGCTCCCTTCCTGCAGCAGTCTCTCTGCTGAGGTTGGGGCACAGAGGAAGTGACATCGTGCTGTTTTTTTTTCCCAGAATATTCTGAAGGAAGAGGAGATTGTTCCAGAATGCTTATCTCGAATTTGTTTTCAGTTATACGCACCCAAACTGAGCTCGAAATCTGGGAGTAGTTCCTTATATCAGGAAATTGTCCCAAAAGATGCAAGGCTGTTGGGGCAAAGTGTCGGTGAGGGATGCAGTCCTGATGTTTGTGGGCGTGACCTGGTTCCTGAGGAACCTGCTTATACACCAGCCGCTCCCCTCTGCGGTACCTGCCACAGTGGCTTCATCTCCGCTCTGCTGCATCAGCACCTACGCCGTTCCCGTCGCAGTCACTTGGGGGACCTCTCCGAGAGAAGAAAAACGACTGTCCGCCCTTCCCAGTGGAACAGTGCTTGTGCTTAATTAGACATCGAGTGCCAGTCCTGCCGATAATTAAGGCTTATGCTGAGCTGGACTGTATCGCGGGTGCACCACTATGCGGGGATTTCAGCTTGAAGTAAACATGCGACTTCATCCTGAGCTGTTTCAGATGACGCCATTCGCGTTCGCATTGTTGCTGGAAGTACAACCAGTACTTCAATATCAGAGTCAGTAACGAGTTGTAGGCCTGGCCATGTGCTTGATTATCAGTTATTTTCTTTCTCACTCGACCTTCCTCTGATTTCTTGTCATACAGATTGTACACTTCTGTACTTGTAAAAATTAGAGTTATTATTTAACAGGATCATATCTGCCGTGTGGCCATATTTATTTTTGTGATTATGATGGTTACTGTTGTTGTTATTAAACTCCATAATTTTGTTGTTCTGCATCGTTTATTTTCGTCATACAGTAACAGCCACGGCCGGAGCGCTGTTCATTTGGCCGATATTTCCTGCTCCAGTGAAGTAGAAAGCTTTATTTGTGTCTTGAACAGTTTTTGCATTTGCGTCATGAGTCGTAAACACACAATAAAAGGGGCTTTCACATGCGAGACCTGCGGTAGATTGTAAAGCTGTCTTCCTGGTATCTGCCCTGCGACACGGAGACAGGCGGTTTTACAAAAACATGGGAACCAAATATTGGACGCTTTCAAGAAACATAGGTATTGCTTGTAAATGGAAATGCAAAAATACAGTATGTAAACATTCTCATTCATGATTTCGTGTTTAGATATTATCGATTAATTTAGCTATTTTTTTGCGGCAATAATCGATAATGCCGATATCAACCAAACCCCATTATCACGTATTATGTGCTGTATCCTCCTGAGACCCAAGGAAAAAAAGTGTCCTTCAATCTTAGGTTATTTGTGATTTTCTGTGTCTTTGGAGGAAATAAGACATCTTACAATTTAGATTTTTTTCTAATTTATTTTTATTTTTAATTTCACAGCTTGTCCTCTTTAGTGTACAACAGGAATAAATACATAAGAACATAAGAACTATACAAACGAGAGGAGGCCATTCGGCCCATCGAGCTCGCTTGGGGAGAACTTAACTAATAGCTCAGAGTTGTTCAAATCTTATCTGGCTCTGATTTAAAGGAACCCAAGGATTCAGCTTGCACTACGTTATCAGGAAGACTATTCCATACTCTGACTACACGCTGTGTAAAGAAGTGCTTCCTTAAATCCAGTTTGAAATGTTCTCCCGCTAATTTCCACCTATGGCCACGAGTTCTTGTATTTGAACTAATGCTGAAGTAACTATTCGGTTGAACGGCATCCAAACCTGTTAGAATCTTATAGACCTGGATCATGTCCCCCCTCAGTCTCCTTTGCTTGAGGCTGAACAGATTTAGCTCAAATAACCTTTCCTAACATCAGTGAAAAGATAGACGGGAAAACAAAATGTCCACTACAATGGACAGAGATGAATGGATGGGGTCTCAGGAGGATATTTCTATACGACAGGCAGTGCAGTAGGTTTGTTTACACCAGCATCACCGCAAACACGCGCATAACGCTTTGTGTTACGTTATAACGGCAACTACGACACCAGGTGATAGGAATCTTTCGGCTCTGTTACAATCTTACAGATGGGACCCACCATCGTATATGCAGTTCGCCATTCACCGAAACATGACTGCATATGAAAAACAGAATTGTGCACTTTACACAAAAATGCACAGTTCGTGCAGCTGAATTGAGCAAGAACTTTATTCAAAATACTGATTCATCCTTGGAAGTTAAAGGCCGTTAGTTAAATCTGGCCTTTAAATTTTAGTAGTTCCAATATTTCAGTACTGGAGTGTTAGCCATCAGGATACAGTGGTAATATCGTGATGCATCAATCATGACAGTGGTATTGTAATTATGGGTTAGTTGGCAATTCTCTGGCTTCCAGAATAGTCTTACTGTCACCGGAGGACTTCTTCATTTTATCTTTTTGCTGACACAGTGTGACAGGCTGCCGCGTGTCACTAATGCACGAAAATCCATGTAACCACAAAATGAAATCTCTCCACATGAAATCTCTCCACACGATGCTCAGACTTCATCTATTGAGTAATACGCTACCAGTCAAAAGCTTTTACAGACCACAGGTTTTGACTACTTTTACATTTATTTCATAAACTGCAGCTTTTTTTATTCTTGTTAAGCACTGGAAAGTTGAGTGAACAACTTTAAATGAAAATGTAAGTAAAATTAAATGTTTCCTTTATAACATGGAAAGAGTATCTAACAGTGCATGTCTGACATCCTGTTAACTGGTTCTGTGTCGATGGCGTAGTCAAACTCTAGGCTGTCCTTTAACTTTAAATGCACTAGTTAATTTCATCTCATGAAACAGAGCAGTATTTAATGTCCCTTATAGAAAGAATGGCTCAAATTTTCTCTGCAGTTATAACAGCTAGAGGAGATGACTTTGAATCAAAGATACGGCATTTTCATGCTAATAAAGGTACTCAAGTGGTGAACATACTACAAATTTATTTGTTAGCAAAGAACTTTTTAATATATATTTTTAGTAAATGTTAAGTGAGTCACCTGCAAATGTAGAAAATTTCAGCATTTGCAAAAAAGATTCAGTGACAGAACCAGTGTAAGGGTTCCTAATCATGTTATACAGGATGGTGCAACATTTGCAGCTTCACAGAGTTGCTATAATATCTAATGCAAATTTCCTAACATCTTATTTTGCATGTTATCTGTCATGCGTAGATGTCCTTATGTAAGAAAGTTTCGGTGGTATCTCTGTGCCTTTCTTGGCAAACCGCCGTACACAGCTGAATATTCACATCGCTCTTTGCTTCTTGATGTCCAACCATCACCGCATCTGTCAAGCTGTATCGCGATTTAAAGGGTTCAGCATCGTTATCAGCTAGTTCTGCTCAGCTACAGTTCTTTGCTTTTCTGAATCGTCAGAATCGCCCCCCCCCCAGTGCCGTCGACGTCTCTCTCCCTAATACAGGATCCTTCAGAGTTTCCCGCTGCAACATGCGCCGCCCGCAGTTCGAAGGCTGGCTGCGGCCGTGAACGTTTGGAACTCACACCCTTCCGTGAGGGTCCTGTGGGGCTGAGCACGTCTGGGTCTCGCGGCCCGGCGTGTGATGGTGTGAGGTCATCACCTGGAATAAGGGTTATAAATCAGTTTATTTATTCTATCACGGATGCCTCCGTTGGTGGGGGAGCAGCTGTCTGTGAGATCAGGGAGGTACCTGTGAGTGTGTGTGTGTGTGTGTGAGAGAGAGAGAGATTCCTAACAGTGTTACCCCCTCCATCCACAGATCTTCCTCCTGGCCTGTCCTCCTTGCAAGACCGCCATGGTTATCTTCAGGTGAGTCCTCCCCCCACGCCACACGCCCGCCCCCCCCCCATTTGGGTTTGTGGTCTGTGTCCAATCAGTCACCACCTGCTGCGTGTCGTGGTGCGTCCTCGTCTCACGATGCATTACATTAAGAGGCCGTGAGGCAGCCTCCTAAAAATAGCCCTTTATCCCGACAGCCCGGCCGCCGTGCTCCGCGATTCCATCCCTTTTTCAGGACGACGCACACATAGCATTCCCCCGTCGAGGTCCGTAATCACGACAAATATAGTTAGGCTATAAATAAGCCACTCGAACTCCAGATATTCCCAACACAGTAATGCAAACAAACAATGTATCGTCTCGTAAAGAATTTACGCTTGTTGAAAGCGGCTAACGGATTAGCGTCCGTTCCCGTTGGCCGCCTGCAAGGAGGGTTAGCAAACGATTCAGTTGGTCTATTCCTTGATTGTCGCCTCTCTGGCATTATTTTGATTTGTTAGGCCAGAGTCCTGTCTGTGTTCTGTGGGACCGAATGGGGTCTGACTGGGTTTGTACTTCACATGAAAGAGTACTATACCCTCGGTTGGGCTATGATGTCAGCTTCTGTAAAATAAATCACAAAAATGCCCTTAGGGGACATTGCCGGCAGGTTTTGAATTCCTCCCTCTTTTTTTGGTGTAATTCAATACAGCGGATTACACTTAAGTAGACTTATATCATGCCGAAAGGTTTGTGTACATGTAGTCATTGTCTTTGTGAACCACATAAGTGCACCATGTGACCGTCTTGCTCACTCAAGTGATCATCACTCACTTTCTCAGCAGACCCCCCCAGGCACTGTGTGATCAAGGGACCCTCATTAGATAGTGGAGCCTCCCACAGGATAGGAGAACCAGGTGTGGAATTCCAGCATGCTGCTGAAACCTCACCACCTCCCTCTCTTCCTGTTTGTCACTGGGGTGTCATCGTCTCTTTGCTGTAATGCCAGATTGCCTTGGATGGCATTACGGCGAAATATTACTTATTCAATTCAGTCTCTCTAAGCTCGCGAATGGAAGCGTTGCATTTTTAGGTGTCCGCCTGTCTCATTTGCCTTCTGCGTTTTAGAATATATTGAGTTGACACGGATTGAGACAATTATTGCGACAGTTGAGTAAGAGGGCCCCGATCTGCACAGGAAGGGCTGTTGCGATTTACATCCTGGCCAGTGAAATCCAGGAAGTCACGCGGTCTGTTGTTTTGAGTGTCCCATGTTGTAGATGCGAGTGCCTGACATGAGAGTGACTCCGGGCGTCTTGCACGTCGACTTTAAAATCCCACAGCCCCCTCTGTACATCATGTTAGAAGCACCTGTGGGATCTGAACCCTTTTCCCATGTGTGTCCTCTAGGCTTCAAGTTCACATGCTCAACGGTGCCCTCCTGGCTCTCCTGTTCCCCGTCGTCAACACGAGGCTGGTGAGTCCCCCCCAGAAAGCACGCCGCGTTCGAGCACGACACCGGAACCGTGTAACCCTGGGCCGCCGTGTGCACGTGTGTGGGCTTGCTCGCAGATGCCTCCGGTTGTTCTGGCATGTTCCGGGAACCACAGAGCGAGGATATTTCTGATGCCACAGCTGTTGGAGAAATCTGCAAACTATGCATGCAGCTGTGCGGGGGTATGCAGATTGGCCGGGCAGTATTAATGAGGTTTGGATAACGGTGTCACTTTAAGCGGTTGGATTGTGAGAGAAGCAGCTGACTTCCCATTGGCGTGTTTACATTCTCCCTCGTCATAGCGTGAAACTGAAAGTATTTCAGCACCATCGGTGCAAATGTTTATCCATTCCCTGTGCAGCAGCGTGCTCCACCAGCTGTGCGCCGAGGCTGTTACGCCACCAGGCTACCGTGCAGAGAAATGAGGAAGGACGTGAGGTTTTCTTAGCCTGCAGGCGCAGCGTGACCAGATCCAACTAACTTTCGCGCCCTGCTGTTGACGGGGATGGATATTTATGAGGCTTTGGGTGGAGGGCTGCCTGTTCGTTATCTAGTGCCGCAAGCCGTCGCCTTATTTACGCATGTAATAAGTTCATAAATCTTTAAGGAAAACGTGTCGAACGCTGGTACCGTCATGTTCCTCGCCGATTTGCCGCCCCCAGCTCCCCGACGTGCATCGCACGCCCACCACCACCCTGTTCGTGAGTCATAAGTGTTACCACTAAAGACCGCCCCCAAGGTCGGACTCGCCAGTTGGGTGGTGTCAGTGTATTTGAGGCTGTTGTGCGCGGTGGGGCTTGGGGGCAGTGTTGGTTTCACAGACATGCAGCAGGAGGTGGGTATACTTCACCGTGTGGCGGCCGCCAGACTGCGCTCTCCCCCGGGCCCCCGGCCCCTCGTACGACGCTCGCACACCACAAGCCCAGGTTCAGTGGCTGGTGCCGGCTGCTCGCGTGTCGTTAGCTCCTGCGGGCGGAGCCACACAGGAAACCCTTCAGCCTAACAAGGCCTCGTTAACCAGGCTGCAGCCGACAACGTTCGGTTGCTAGGAGACCGGCATTCACAAGTGACCGTTGTTAGGGAGACAGACTGGTCCCCCCCCCTCCCCCCCACGAAGTTACTTTGCTGGGGGTAAACCGTAGAGTGAGGGTGGGGCTGTGGCGAGCAGCCGACGTCGAGATTGAGGCGGCTCCGTCGTCACAGCTAAACATGAGGACATTATCTGTGCCCTTGTGGCCATGGGTGCCCTTCATCTGAACAGTGCTGTAATGTGTAATATCGGCGTTATCTATGACAGCCTTTAGACCATCTCTCTCTGTCAAGTCAGATCAAAGGCTGACAGCTTATATGGATGTTGTGCCCCCCCCCCCCCACTAATCCTCCCCGAGGGGTACATGTGCTTTTACCAGTTACACCTCAGTTCCCCTGGGATGCATCATCCAAAGGCTTCGCACGCATTATGTTCGTGATGAGTAAACTCATCGCAGAGCTTCCTGTATAGCCGCCCCCCCCCCCCCCATTTCCTGGCTCCTAATGCTCATGCCATTTGCGGTTTATCATCACAATGTCTGTGAGGCGGGGGTGCAGCCTCTTCCGAGGCTGCCAGCTACGGCCCGGAATGCTGTTATTTCCTGTTAATTGTGGCCTGGCTGGGAACGAGCGCGCAGGATGGCTTCCTGCGGCCGGCCGGTGCAGCGGCGATCCTCGCATGCCGTGTCGATGGCCAGATGCAGGCCATTCTGTACAGGTCCAGGTGACGGCAGTGATATCAGCGGTTAGAGTGATTTTCTGTCCCTGTCCCCTTACAGCTCCCCTTTGAAAAGGAGGTCTATTACATTCAGCACTCCATGCTCTACCTGGTTCCGATCTACCTTTTTAGAAAAGGAGGTAAGTGGTAATAACTACAGATTTAGACATAGAAAAGATATGTAATGAATTAACGAAAATGAATAAATTGATGAATAAAAACAGTTGGTCAGGTGTTGATGTGTGATGCTTACAAAAACAGTCCTTGGTATGTTAGCTTGTTGTTTTTGACAATGGCTTGCTGTGCAATGCTGCCATCTAGTGTTCAAACTGTGTTACTCGCGCAGTCATTCCTCGTGCACAGAAGCTCCCCCTGCTGGTACTGATTACAGGCTGATTTATACTTCTGCGCTGAATCGATGTAGGTATGGCGTAGTCGAATTCCCTATGACACACACCTCCCCAGAAATGTAACTACACATCACAGTGACGCAGAGTGCAACAACGGATTGATCCGCTTGGTTAGCATCACACTAAACTCCCACACAAATGTTTTGGTGTTGTTTCCAGCTGGGGGCATTTTTTTGTAGGACAAACTTGTGATTGGCTTGCTGCTAGCCTGCTGTTTTTGCCACGGTCACAGCTGTTTACACTTCAGCTGCACGACATCAGAAAGTTTCAGATGTCACAAATTAATATCGTGCTATTTATAAAAAATACATTTCCCACAAACCCGTCAATGAGTGATTTAAAAGGATAAAAATGGATTTTGATTGGCTCGGAAAGTGTATGCAGAACTCATGCAAAAGCAGCAGCAGTAACACTTTAAAACTGATTTTTACACATATACTAGATAATCTTCGAAAGGAAGAATCATTAAATCTGTGAAGCTTGCCAAGTTTAGTTTCTTTTAACAGAGGAAAAACATTTTAGCCAAAGTTAACTCCACCATACTCAATCAGCCGGCGTTCTGGTGATGTCATTGCAGAGCGACGCAGACACAATAGCGCACAAGTATAAACGGCGCAAGTCCTGCGTACGCTCAACGCGGAAATATAAACCAGCCGTAAGACTCACCCGTCGTCGTCCTCCCGTGCTGGACATGGGATGTGTTGTGGTATCAAGGTGCAAATTTTGGTCGCTTTCAAGGCGATTAGGCTCAGAGGGCGTGAAGCTTCCTTGACAATGAGCCCGTTGTCATTGTTCCATCTCCCAGGCATCTACAAGCCCGAGCCCCTAGTCAACATGTGGTGGGCCCTGCTGTCCACTGGCATCCTCTTCCTGTACCACTTCGTCTTCCTGCAGGGACTGGGCCTGGTGAGTATGGACCAGTGTCGCCGTCTCCATCAGGCCTGTGCTCTTTGCTAACGACGCATCTTCGGGGCCTTTCTTTATGGCGGCGCTCAGACTGCTTCCCATGTTAAACTCTCTGGCTTTATAATTAAATATCTAGCGGGAGACTGGTAGCCCCTGCCTATGAAGCATCAAGCTTGAAATTTCCCGCCCATTCACACCTGCTTTTTTCACTCACATGACCTTGTCACATGACAGTGTCACATGACGAGGCTAGGTTGAAATATCAAACACATGCTTGCAGTCAATGCCTGTATGTATAGTATTAATGGCTAATGAAACTAAGGTGAGACGTAATCTAATCGCAATAAAAAGGATAATGTTAATAACAGAAAGTGCCGGAGCCGTTAGTTTTCTGATGTTTGTGTTCTGCGACATTCCTCCAGATGACCGAGGTCAACCTGAACAACATGCTGTGTCCTGCTGTGTCGGACCCCTTCTACGGGCCCTGGTACCGGGTGTGGGCCACGGGCCACCAGACCGCACTGACGCTGGTGCACGGCAAGGCGCTGACCTTGCTCTGCCACAGCGGCGGCCCCGCCTTCCGGCAGCTGCTGGATGCCGTCAGGCTGCGCGGCAAGAAGATCGACTGAGCGGCAGCTGGCCCCGTTCGAGACGCCGCTCTGCCCGTCCCGCTGCCGCCATCGTCCGCTCGTACCGCGTTCGCCAGCCCGCAGTGTCGTTCCTGTCGTGATGTTCCGGTCGTTTCGAGGTCCACATCTCCAACGCGCCTTTTTAGAGCCCTGACTGATGTCCGAGACACTGGGATGATGCTTAAAGGGCCGAGGCAGGGCGTCCATAGTGCCCTGCGATTCTTTTTTTTATTTTTAGATTTTTAATGTATGTCAAGAGGCCTTCTGCTAGCTTAGCTGAGACCGTATGGGGTTGACCCCCCCCGTAAAGGCTGTACAAGTGTGCTTTGTATTTGCTTTTTATCTGTGCCCTCAGTGTTAAAGCCAATGTAGTGAACTGTAGCCATGCGATAATGAGACTCAGTAACGGACCACAACGTGGCTCCAGCCAGGTGGGGGCGATATTTCGCCTGAATGGACAATCCAGTCCTCCAGAGACTCACTGGAAATGGCACACTGGTGCATAAGGGAGATGGATGGTGGATGGTCATCGTGCCAGGGAACAGGACAGGGAATTCCATCCCCACCATACCAATATGAAAAATATGGAAAAAGGTGTAACTTTTATAATGTACTGTGCCGATTTAAAACTAGTGTTTTCATCTGTTTTTGTCATACATTTGCAGTGTTGTTCATTAGTACCTCGCAACAAAACTATTTTCAATAAACAGCTGTACATCTCCAGATATCTGGCCATGTTTCTGTGAATGAGCACAAAGTATTTTCTCAACAACGTCATGTTTGGTCATTCTTTTTGCAGCACTAATACTTGCCATTTAAGCTGACACAGTGGCTATTGTGACTGCTCATTAAACTTAACCCAGGCAGGGGTTCTTATCCAATAAGGGATTTTACTTCAAGGAATTCAAAACGACTGCAGAACACATCACAGCCATATTAGACATTGAACAAAACAGCAGCAACACAAACAGATCTTTGCAGTTGGACTTTATTTTTTTTTTTTCCTCAATTGGATAAATGATTTTAAAAGATAACAATAGTGTTTAAAACTACAATATCCATCGCCACAGCCATAGCTCACATACCCACTGACAGCCCTTCTATATAGACTCCCAAACCCACCCCCCCACACACATTTATCTTTTTTTTTTTAACATTTTAAAAATTTTGTTTCTTTTTTTGGGAACCAAAGTATCAGTAAAATGCCCATTTCAAGTTTCATCACACTAACAGCAATTCAATGTGGAAGGAGAGGATCTAGATCTAACAGAAAGGGCTATTTCTTCAGCTTTGTTTTTTTTTTTCTCCAAACAATATTTTCAAGTTACTAAGCAGGAAAGAAACGATTTAATGTGAAATAAACACGGGGGTGGGAAGGGGGGCCACGCCAGGCAGCCCCGCCCCGCCCCCGATGGCCATTGCAGGTGACCTCACAGTCCACCGATGACACATTCCAACTCATCGATTCAATTTTCATTAATGTAGAAAACCACTAAAATAATTTAGAAACTAGATCCAAAATATTTCGTTGTTGAAAAGAATCAAATCTCGATGTACAAAACTCATTTCCTTTTTTTTTTGTATACATTTTTAAAGTAAGTTTTCTTAAAAAAGTTTCCACACACAAGTTTATTGTAGTTCTTATTTATTTAATCTGTTATTTATTTCTCTGTATAACTATCAGTGCGATTGTATACCAGTGCAGCTACTGGGTCCGGAGTAAAGAAAAGAGGCTTTTTTCTCTTAAATTTTTAAACAATTTAAAAAAGAAAAAAAGAAAAAAAAAAAGGATAAATGCATCTTTTATATAAAGTATCACTGCTGGTCTTTAGGAAAGAACACATTAAGAAACCCATAAATCTAAGAGGCACGCTATGGGGTTTTCTTTAAAAATTATAACAATGAAAAACACCGACAAGAACAAAAAAATTAAAAAAATAATAAACTGTTGCAACCAGTTTCTTTGCCTTCTGAGAGCCAGTGACTCGTCTCAGTGGAGCGACAATGAAAATTCATTTACAAGAAGAGGTTGCCGAACGAAGTTAGGACTCGTACAAAAAAATGCTCCAACGAAAAAAATAATTAAAACCGACGGGAAAAAAAAAACTCGTGCAGGGACGTTTTTGGAAGGACAGGAAGGTATAGGCCTGAAGAGCAGCATTTAGACATGGCTGGAGGCATCTTTGGTTCGGTCGAACACACAAAGGTAACGTGAGCCTACGGTCTGGAGACGAAGGTGAAAAGGATACGAGGACTCAACCCCCGAAGGCCGGGATAAGAAATGCATCTCGTGTGAATGGTGAGGAGCTGGTGTAATTCGACCCACATTATCACAGTGGGCTGACATCTGAATTCCAAGGTTTATTCTGCAAGCTGCCAAAGCTGCAGAGAAACCACAGTGGAAGCTGGAAGATGATTGTGACACATCTAAGGTCTTCCAGTCCAAACAAGCTCCCGAAAGATGTTATGTCCACCAGCTCGGTCCATACCGCACACTTGCATTTTGTCGAGATCCCGGGGAGGGGGGGGGCGGATGGCGGTTTGGGAGGGGGGGGGAATGCCCCATCACGAATAGACTGCCCCAGCACAACAAGAGTAACCAGGAAGCTAGAGACCATGCAAGTGTAAATCAATGTTCCCAAAGTGCATTCGGAGGTGGATTACACCGTGGCTTTCATAGCGCAATCCTTCAAGTATTAAACAAAACATGGCGCAGAGACATGGGTGGAGATCAGCTCTGCGGTAGGAACCTGCAAACCGGAGCCATGAACGGCACCGTCGCCCAAGAACCTGGGCTGGACGATACCATCATCAGCAGCATCCAGTTATCGTATGGCATCTCCCACAGTCACGGGGGAGTGTGTTGTGTTTTTGGTTTGCATATTCCTACGTAAATACTGTTTTGGGGCCCCCTAGAGGACACCCATATAACCTTTGCATGGCATCTAGCACGTGACAATAATCCCAATATCGGCGATTCCAAGGAATTCTACCCAACGGCATTGGGGTAAATTCCAGACAACTTAACACCTTGGGTTTGTTGTGTTTTAGCAGTGCCAGTTTCCGACGTCAGTGATGGGCCCAGAGAGTACATTGTACAGGTAAAAATAGGCAACAGTAGTACAGTGGAACATAAACGGGTTAAACAGGACTCCCTGTGCTTTGTTGAATTGTGTTCTGGCCAGAAGATGGGATGGGGGGAGGGGGCTTGCACTGAGGCTGGTCCTTGGGTTCTGCATGTCGCAGATTCGGCAAACCCCAAATGGACCCAGAAGAGCCCCTATGGGTCACAGACTTTTCTTTGGCCCGCTCGTCTAAGACCCGGCGACGGGAACAAGGAGCCAAGATGGCGGCCCACCGGCTCATAGGGGATTGTGGGAATCGTTCGGGCAACTTGAGGAAGGAAACGAGGCTGGCAGGGAGCCAATGGCGAACGTTTCCAAATTCAGTCAGTCTGCTCATACCTTGCGACCACGTCTCGCACTTTTGACACGTACTCTTTAGAATGCGGGTCGTAATGAGTTGGGGGAGGGAGGGGAGAGAGATATGCAGCTGGGAGACTGGGGCCTCTCTACCAGCGCGCGGCTGCCGAAACAGAGGCCTCTTTGTCCGGCGCACATGGGGCATCACAGATGGAGGTAATTTCTGCATCCAGCATCATAAACCGCAACCGCAGTTCTCCCACCTCCCCCACCCTAAGAGACGAGCCAAAGAAAATGCCAGAACAAAGACCGCGGGCCGTGCGCCCCCCCTCCACAACACACTGGCGACATAGGGGAAGTGAAAGGCCGTTCCAGACGGAGGGTTTTACAGGACTTGGAGGGGACCGACACCACTGTGCATTACGGCTGGTCTAGGTGTTGCTGCACACCTTGGATGCTGCTACCTCCCGTACAGCTAATGGGGTCAAAAAGCTACGCCTTTTCCCCCCAGGCCAAGGGGGGGGGAATATTTGCTGTCCATGTCCTTTCAAAACCTGCAGGTTTTTGATTTTCAATGTTACAACAGTAAGAAACACCTGTAAAACAGATCTGCATATATCAAGGATAATTCTGATATGATTAATGTGTCCGCATGACCAGTCATGTGACTGTGACCGCCCCAACATGAGGTCTGATAGCACCATTTTATTTCATTTTTGTTTGTATTAAAAATAAAAAATAAAAAAAAAACACTAGCATGCTGAGGATGTCTATTTGTATACAAACACGCAAAAAAAGAAAATCGCATGTATGTAACAAATAAACGTGAAAAAAGCCTATAGACTGTTTTGCAGCGGAAAATGTTCAGTTTGTGCTGTAGTTGGTAAAAAGCCAGGAAATGAATGTCAAGGTGTGTCGTTTCATTAGAGGCCCGGGCTGCAGTTGCCATGCAACTCTGACGCCCATTTATCAACACCCCCTTAACCGTTTGAGACGCGTCCGGAACCAGCTTTAATTCACAGAGATTGTCACTTAAGACGACGAAAATCCCACGTGCCGTGCGCTAAGCTGCCCTTGGCGTCTCGTCGGGACTGAGGGACGACCGCGTGACAGCTGCCCCATCACAGTGAGTCAGGTAACCGCCTGGGTGCGGCAGGATCAGGCCTATAAAGCCAGACGGTAGCAGGAGCATGTTTACTATGTCCAGGGTTTAACCCAGCATGGTCCCTGAGGGCTGTTGTACTGTCACCCCTATGTCAGGGCTGACCCCTTAAAATTGGGCCACCAGTGCTGATTCAAACCCCCATAACTGCAGGGCTCAGGTATGGCGGCTCGAGATAAAAAGGAACCTTTCATTGTTCTGGCTGGCGGATGAAACGACAGAGCACTGATGACATTAACTTACTGGTAGCAGGCAACACAACTGAAAAAAAGGGTCTTTTTCTTTTGTTTCTGGGGAAACTGTAGGGTTTCTGTGGATGGAATCCCAAAGCCCTTCACATTTCACCAAAGGATAAAACAATATGTACATTCTCTTAGAACAGAGTGCGTAAGCCTTCTTTAGACATTCAACAATATAGATTATTTTCTTGAGACGAGTCTACAAATGTAAATAGCAAACTCGTGTCTTACAGTTCCACATACCTTGAGGAAAAAAAGTTCCAAACTCAAGAAAACCCGACAAGAAGCCCATTATCTGCTTCTCGAATGTTTCCAAAGACCACTTACCCACCAAGTTCTTTTTGCTGCAACTCCTGCCTGCTTGAAACAGACTAAAAGCAACACACAAGACTGGGGTAAAACCATTTGCCCTAAACATGTTGAAGACATATAGCTATCTGCCTGGACATTGTACAACTAGCAGAGAACTGGTAGAAGTCACGACTCCAAACGCCTGCGTCCATCACAGCTCATAAATCGATTGTGTTGCTGCTGCCTGGAGACTTAGCATTTGTGAATGCTTACTCCCGAGCGTCCCTAAAGGTTAACCCGCACTGGACCGCTGCAGCTATGCAGGCTTCATGCTGCTTCAGATGGATTACCCATCAAGTGTTGGTGGGTATGCGAGTCGTGCTCAATGAGCACCTGCAAGAATTACAGCTCACATGCCGCCTAAAGGCCTCTGTTAAGCCCCTGAAGAATACACAGAAATCTTGACAGACCCAAGGCAGGCGGCGGAGCAGTAGCCCCCAAAAACAGCCGTTTGGTGGACAAAAATATAAATAAAAAGCTACACCAAGCCCCGCCAGGGTGAAAACACTGAACAGGAGGACCACCTGAGCCAGCTACAAACCACGGCTAGAGCAAACCATGCATCAGAAGAAAATATGGCTTTAAAGGGTCTAACCTTGCTCCTGCTGAAGCACACCTAGTCTTTCCACTATTCTCTCCAAGTAACAGGCTTAAGGTTTGCAAAGGAGACCTTAGAAAAGCACAGTGATCACACCATCTTCTGAGGAGAGCCTGTCCACGTCCTACCAAGAGCTCATCCCACCCAACAGGTCCAGCTGGCATGGGGCCTTCTGCCCCGGGAGGACGGCACTAAACCTGCTGCTACAGAAGAAAGTCGGTAAAAGAACGGTTAGGAAAGAATAAATCAACGTCCACCGAGAAGATGACGTTCAAGCTGAATTGCTCGTTACGTCATTCATCACAGATGATTAAAAAAAAATTTTACATTAAAAAATAAATAAATCACCGACCGACCTGAGCTGACAATTCTATTGCGAACAGTAATTTGGAAAGCAGTGGAAGTTCTGAACCATTTTTGGTGCCACAAAAAAAACTAATATTGGTGTTATCCAGTCACTAATAAATCCTGCGATTTTATTGGTCTGTTCCCTAATTATGAGCTGGCCTATAATTACACAGAGAAAAAAATATAAATGATTGCTGGCTTTAAAAGTAATGGGTCTAACCAAAGTCTACCATCTAGGACAACAACCACACTCAAGGTTATACAAGAACCTACATCAAGATTGATCTAGCTACGATTCACGAAACCACACCAACAGCCAATAGCTCACGCAAAAAGAACACAAACCTTCAGACCCGTGGGTCTCCATTAAGATACACACACCTGGCTAATAATAAATGATTTTAAATAAAAAAGAAACCAAGTTCCCTATTTTAATTGCATTACCAAGCCTACTATACATAAACTAAAGCAAAACCATTAACGATTATCCCATCAAAACTGACTTCCTTCCATCCACAGACAAAAAAACCTGATTAGGATTTTTGGAAAATTAAAATCAGTATATATATTTTTTTTTTCTTTTAAAAAGAAAGGGGGTTAACATATTGTAGATATAAATGCTGCAAAAACCAACTTAAGAGAAAAAGATTAAAGGAAAAGAAATGTTATTTTTGCTCTCACACAAAAAAGAAAAAAAAAGAAAAGAAAGAGTGCGCTGCCACCCGTTGCCAGCCTGGCGCAGACAGACGGCCAAGCGTGGCAACGGAAGCTATCATCATAAAATGGTACAGTAGTAGAGATAGCTAGACCAAGAAGGGGCGGGTTCTCCTGGGAAGAGGTCCGCGGAGAGGTCCAGTGACTGGTCATGCGGCTCGGTGTCAGGAATAATGGTTGTAAGGGGGCAGGGGGTGTCCGATGCCGTTCTGGTAGTGGTGATGCTGGCGGTGGGTGATGTAATCGGCGTAGCTCATCGTCATCTTCTCGCTACAATACCTGCGGGGCGGAAAGAAGGGATGGGGTTGCACGGTTGGTAACAATGGGGATCCTGTGACCTCACCAACCTGGGCACTCCCAACAAAGACAAAAACAAACCTGACTTGAAACCAGTGTTGTGAACGCAGGCCAAAAATAACCGTTGTTTCATCGCTCTAACAGTTACGTGTTGGCGAACGCCAAGGAGCTTTCCTGGACTTTACTGGTAGCCTAGATCCACGTGTGACAGCATTGAGTGAAACCCGGTCTTCCCAGCCGCATGGAGACCGTGAAAGAGCCTCCGCTCAGGTACTTTACCCAGCAGCAGGAGACGAATGTACCCAAAATGGCTATCGCAGACAGCGAGAAGGGCAGCCAACTGTAAAGCAAGGCTAGCTGAACATCTGCCGTGCCATGGAGCCTCTCATTCAGAATGGAATTACCGTTTTATTAAAGTTGGTCGTTTCTTGCCTTCCACTCGAAGTAACCCAGCTCTTCTTTTACAATAGTGCAGCTACAATACTTTTTTTTGACCTAAGCAATCTGGTTTAGGTGCCTTTTTCTAAGGTACAACAGCAGGACACACGCAGAGACGGCACATGGGGACACAGGCGTGGAACTTACCTCCATTCCCTGCATAGCAAAGACTTTAATAACTGGGCACATCCCAGAACGCACAGCATGACTTGAGACTGTACGCTTAGGCTCTCAACCACTTTCAACCACTGATGCATTATTGCCAGTTTGTGGTGTGAGTTTGAGCACTTGAACATAAAGTGGTAAAACCAAATGCAGGGGAAATGCATTTTGGTATCAATTTATGCAAAAAAAAAAATAATTAAAAAACTAATCTGAGCAGACAGAGCTCATCAAAACAAAGGAGTTTAACCAACCGGAGCAACCTTAAAGGTCAGATGACCCTAGCATCAACAAATGCTCAGGCCTCCGAATGCTGCATGTGTGTGACATATCCCAGAAGCCCCTGGAGGCTGCTAGTAGGACGAATTCAAGACGAAAGTGAGGTGGTGACTAAGGGATGAGCCCAGCACTGCAGGGGCAGAGAGCCATGCATATACAAACTGAGCAATTTCTCAGCAGAGAAGACAGAATCAGCACATAAGCAAATATGCCTCCACACCAGCAGAGGGCAGCAAACCGAAAGGCAGGTGCTGCACTGAGAGGCTCAGTATACCCACTGCTGTAGTAGCTATGCAAGTGTGGAGGCAGAGTTTTGAGCACCTCAGAGGAACCCAGCAAAATCACATGAAGTTTGCAGGAGTTAATTGCACAGTTAAATTTGTTTTGTGTTCCCAGGAAATATCTAACATGAGGGAACAGGTTAGTAAAAAAAAAATAATAATAATTAAGTTAAAAAAACAAATGACAATTGGGTGTGCAGTTTCCAGAACAACGGTTGTGTGATTAAAAGCTTAAGGGAGTTGATGCAGGAGTGCTAAGGCAGAAAAAACACACACACACACCCCATAATGAGACCTCCTGGGCAGGTGCCACCGCCCTCCAGACAGCGCTGCACACGCTCAGTGAGCGGAGCTCGGCCAGCCGTGCCACCATCTGCATGTTTGGGGCCCTCTCACCTGGTCAATTTAATGGTCTTCCTGAAGTCGTTTGTGATGGGAGCTTTGTAACCTCCCTTCCGTAGTAAGGAATCTATGGTCTGAATGTGGTCCCATCCTGTAGGCAGAAAGCACAGGTGAGACTGTAAATCGCAGCTCGAAACCAGAGCGTGTTTTGGTGAAGGCGTTGCTCGGAGTGGTCGGTGAGCCCCCCCCCCCCCCAGCTCACCTTGCTCCTTTGCAACTTCTGGCAGGTAGGTGGCGGTTCGCTTTGATCCTTTTTCATTGAAAAATTCTATCCTAATGCCATGTACACCCACCTGCGAGAGAGAGGGGGGCAGCTTTTAACTGGGCCAAAGGCCGAGCTGCCAGAGATGGAAAATCTGACAGTTCACCTTCAATTTCATGAGGATTTCTGAGGGTTTCCGCAACATACTTGACGTAAACAGAACGGTTTACTTCACAAGGTCGTCAGTTAGCAGGATGCCACACAAACTCAGTGTCTTACAAATACTTTCCTTGTCGATACGCTGCCAGAATTGCACTTTCAAAAGCGCCACTCGAAAGCGCATCTGGGAGAGTCGAGCGTTTTACGTTGCACATAGTAATGTCATTTTCACCCCAGAAGTGCCACCCTCCTTGGGATATTTCTCTGTACTGTTTATGATGAAAGCGATCCACCGACAGGCAAACTTTCATTCGACCACGCAAAATGAATTCCACAGTGTTTCAAATGAGGCCAGCGTTTCAGCGAACACACAGAGCAGATACCGATCCGGGGACTGTACATTATCTGCAGGCAGCTCACCTACAAACAAATCCAGCTAATGCAGTGCTGTCACATTCCACACAGCCTGAGCGGCTGATCCGGCCGCTCGGACAGCGAGGGAGCCATCAATACCTCGACACCAGCCTATTCCAATCACATCATTAGATTCTAATACCAGGAGAATCTTCAAATCATTCAAAAACAGTCAGTGTGACAGCCTATAACCACAACATTAGCTGTAATCCTAGAACAAAGCACATTTCAATTTTATTAAATTTCTATTCATATTCACTAAAGACACACATTTGGAAAATGGAGTCTGAAATTATTGCCAAATGATAGTGGAAATACTCGTGCTGCAAATTAAAATGCAGAGATGCGCACAAACCACGCTGCTAGCCTGACTATTTTAAAACACACGTGTCGTCACAGAAACGGGGACAGTCGACATCAGGACAGGCAGCGGGCGCCGGGCACATGGGGCAGTCTGCAGCGGGCTTGTCGATTATTCCTAGTTCTGCATTTAGAGGAGCTGAGACTGCAGCAAATATGTAACAGGGCTCAGTGTACAGGAGAACAGCACTGGATCCAGTGCCGCTCTAACATGCAGCATAAGCCAGCTGTATCCACATGCACACATAGTCCATGTATTCATATTTTTGTGGGGACTCTCCATCCATTTCTATGGGCATAACCCTAATTCTGACTATGGCAACCCTAACCCCTAAACACACACACAAAATAAAGTACTCGTCCTTTTGCTTTCCTTCTTTTTTTTTTTTTTAATAAAGTGCAAACATCCCCACCCAGCCACCAAGGATGGAGATCAGCCGTGTTCCTGACCCTCTGCCACTGTCTGAGGGACAAGCCTGCACCACAGACAGGCGCTCCCGCTAGAAACATCAAAGCGCTAAGCCAGCACTAAGCCAGGGTGACGCCCATGCGGGTCTCTGAGGAACCGCTGCGGTGGCTGTATGCCCAACCCCAACCGGCTGGGGAACAGGAACGGGCAGCTAGCCTCACCGAAACCAGCTGAGCACGAGTCGACGGGTGCTGAAAAATGTGATTAAACACGCCCAACTCAATGCAGATTTTTTTTCTTCTTCAAACTGTTTACTTCACACTTTGCAGGTTCTCAAGCATGACTGGCAGGGCATCCGGCTGTGAAATAATCTCAGAAATTCACTGACAGGATCATAGGGTGGAGCGACTATGGACAGGCACAGATGGGCTCGGGCTTGTCATGGGACCAAGGGGGGGGGGCAAACTACAGAGGCTCACTTCACTGAGGCCTTGAGAAGGTGAAGCAGAGACAGTCTCAATGGAATTACATCCTTCTCAGTGTTTCAGGATGTCAACATTCTGTCAGCCATGGGATTCCAACCGGTGACCGTCTGGAAAAGGGGCACCAAGTATCCCCAGTTTCTTAGCCAAAACCGTGCCGGGGGCCCAGAATAACTGGCTGACCGCACACTCTCACCCCAAGCCTTGCTCTCGCCGATATAAGCGCGTTCCATGAAGAAGATGGGACATGCAGAGATTAAATGTCATTGTATTGGCTAAAAATATACAGTGACAGAAGCACCTGAGGTACCAAGAGGCCTAACTTCACACCACATATGAAAACATAATGGTCCGTTTGGGGTCGGCGAAACCCCGAGGGGAACGAACAGCGCGCTTCGATAATCAGGGTCCATCTCAGCCTCAATTTTACCTCTCAGGTGTCAGCAAAGCATGGGAGTGCAATAAACCAGGGGATGGGGGCCGGTGTACAGCAGACGGAGCAGACCGCACTGTGGTCTTTCGGGGCCGTAAGACGGAGCAGACCGCACTGTGGTCTTTCGGGGCCGTAGTCTGGATCCATCAGAATGATTGAGTCACTTTAGTCTGAGGCTCAGCATGGCTAAAGAGATGCAGCCTTGTGCTGAAGCGAGGCAGACAGAACCCTCCAGAAAGGCGGCGAGGGTGACACGAGAACAAAGGAAAGGCTTTGAAAGGCAAGAACGGAAGCTGACAATCTTACTGACGATTGGTACAGGCCCAGGAAATAATCTACAAATCATATCCATCTTTTGCAGAGTTTTGTTTTACAGTGTGTACTGCTGTCTTTACATGTTGTATTTTTTTAAAAATAACTTGCACACAGGTGGTACTGAAACTAGAGACCAGATATCAGCGAACGCTATCAATCACTGCCCGTTTAACTGAACAGCCCCAAATGGGAAGTGGAGCAAACCTAAATCGGTGGCCACCAGGATGCCCCCCCCCCCCCTCACAGTAGTGAATTCACCTTGGCTTTTCAGCCAGGCAGTGTGCAATACTTAGGAGAGCATCCCACATAAAGCTGACCGTGTCGGTACAACGCTACAGGTAGAGCCAGAAACGCTCCACAACACATTCACATAAAGCCAAACAAAAATTCTGAGAACACAAACTCGTGGTAACCGTTAAAGACATTTAAGCTCCATGTAATCCACTTAACTATACTGATTGCCTTGACTGAAGACAATATGCCAGCCACAAAAAAACTATTTAGCTGCTATTAATATCAGTAACACTTGTATTTCTTGACAGTATTAATTTGGGCAGAAAAACAAGGGTGAAAATGAATCTTGGCAGCAGGATACTTACCAAGGAACCACAATACTCAATCTACCCTTTTTAAGGGATGGGGTTCTATTAATTAAGTTACTCTTCTAATTCCTTATATTAATGCCTGAGAAAACACCCCTATATTTTACTGTACAATGACAGATTACAAAAGCCTCCCAAGATATAATTAAGCCTATTAATTCTGAGCAGACCACCACTGGGGTACGTAGATTGTTTTGTCAGAAATCAGCAACTTCATCTCCATGGTGGTAGCTGATACTTACACATAAGGCTATATTGTTAAGAAGTATGCCAATGTGTATACTATGAAAAAATACATTAACATATGAAGCCTATGCAGTGCAGTTAATCCAAGTTAGTCTTAGGGTGGCTTTAATGTAATTTATGGCATTCTTCCACTGGCACACAGGAAACAACCCATACCACGAAGAAAGGCCATTTACAGTGTGGTTCCAGTCCGCTTCGGTTTTCCACTGCAGAAGGGTCGGCTCCGTAAAGGCTTTGCTGGGTTTGGAGAGAGACAGCTAAGGTCTTGATGGCAGTAGAAAAACGCCAGTTAGCCTAGAACCCAAAGTCGACTTTGAAAACGAGCCTCTTCCATGAAAACGCTTCGTCTAAGACAGTAGTGATCTGACTGTTCGTCCACGTTCCTGCCCTCTCAGGAGATGCACAACTACTCAGCGGTCACCCTTCCCAGAGTCTAGAGGGCCACGTGGAACCCACCCACGCACGCTTCACGTCAAACACAACGCGGACCATTCCGTCAGAACATACAGCTTTAACCTTGCTCACATTGGGGCACAAACAAAAACTGTTCCTCTTTTACGTTGGGTTGATTACCAAAATGAAAAAGCACGACGACTTCCTAAGACCTGAAGACGCAACACGAAAATCCTTGACGCCTCCCGACAGGCAGAAAGCAGCATGTTCTCAAGTTTATTCCCGTGAGAGCCCACTTGAAACATGTATTCACCCATAACCAGATAAACAAAAATACCAAGACGGTAGATGGCTGCCTTGCAGTAACATTGGGGTGTGTAGCAACAATGAAAGAGAATGGGCTGTGGCCCTTTGACTCCATCTTCCCTGCTCAAGTAATACTGTGCAGGCTCCATAATTCTATCACCACCCTGTTTAACTCAACGGGAGACAAAGTGACAGCAGCCGTGTCACCGGCACAGCCCACCATGGGTCCCCCATCGGGACGAGGCACCCGCCCGCATGTTCTCTGTGTGTGGGTCGTCCGGCGGCCCTGCTTACCTCCCAGTCTAGGTAATCGCCGACGTCCTCGAAGTTTGTGAGAAGAGACACTGAGCAGAATAGGCGCGGCAGCTCCTCCCTCGTCATCGGGGGGAAGCGGCTGTCTTTAAGGGCACTGCAGACATAGAGAGATACGGGTGTTTCTCTGGGAGGGGGGCACACAGCTGGAAAGACAAATAGGACCAGCATAGCACGGGGAGAATCTGTCACCCCTGGACCACCATGTCCAATGTCAGAGCAGTAACACTGCGTCGAAGAGAGCCCCTCTCACTGCAACAGCCTTCTGAGCCCAGATTAGCTGTTTTCTGCTACTTCGTGTGCGTGTGTTTTTGGAGAGGTGGGATGAGCTAAAATACAAGCTCTGTGCTCTTCAGATTGTCCTCCACAGCCACACCCAAAAAAATAAAATTCATATTATACATATATAAAAGAGCAGGGATTCTCCAGACGCTCCACACCCCCACCTTTGCGACTTCGCTTCCCCTCCCTGCTGAGGTGACCGTGGGCACAGGCATGCTGGCTATTTTTAAACCCCTGCATTTTAATGTCAAATCCCCTGGCTGCGTACATCTACCAGGATCCCACTGCCGACGTGTGGCATGAAGAGATGTGTGGGGAAGAGGCCGGCCACCGGCCATTAAGCGGCAAAGTGCGAATGCGCTTAACCGCTGAACCGTCAAGCCAGCTTTACATGCGCGTCTGCTTGCAAAGTGATCACTTTCGATTAAACACGACTATCACCAACAGCGATTCCTGTTTTCGGAAGCCACCTGACTGCCCCTCAATGTCCCAGCCACTCTGGCATCCACAATGACATCTGAAACACCTTGGCGTAAATAAATTTTTTATTACTATTATAGCAAAAGGCTAGCATGATCCATTCCAGCCTTGGACTATAATTCATTATGCAAACATACTACAGATAGCATAACAGGTTCATTGATTTTAGCAGTTCGTCACGGAATATGTGATTTATGAATTCATAGATGTGGAAACATCCAGTCTGTTTATTCACAAGGCTCTGGTTATCTGTGCCTGCGACGGACTGCAGTCTGCCGAGGGCCTCGTCACACGACAGCTCCATGCAGGAGCAGAGCAGACTCCACAGGCCTTGTTTGTGTGTCCGCTGAGCCACCGGGGCCTTGCTGACCGGCGACGGCGGAGACACCTGAGCCGAGCTCGCTGACCAGCCACCCCCCCCCCCCTCGGGCGTTCGGGATCTCAAGCACGAGGATGTATTGAAGTACATGCGAAACAGGAAAGCATAACCAAACAGCCTTTAGATGCTACTCATTATAAAAATTAATCCTAGCTTATCAAGATGTGGGAGGAGCAGTAATTGGCCGCAAAACAACATGCCCCTTTTTAACACTGAGCTAACTCAAAAAGAATCATCGTATAAAGGTCAAGGAGAACAACAAAGCAATCATGAAGATTCTGACTGGGGATTCCCCATTCGGCAACCATTTCTGCACACTAGCAAAAACTGCCGGATGACTCCGCCCTCTCGATTGTCTGTTTCCAAGGCGATTTATAACCCTTGTGTAAAACCTCCATGCCCGATTAGCAGCTGTAGAACTGACCTTTGTGAAGTAGCCTTGATGACAAGAGGACAAAAAGGGAGGGAGAAACCTCGGTGTGACCCTCAGAGTTGGGAGCCCTTTAAACACGACGACGCACTTACAAAAGGACGTTCCTGAGCCACATCATCAGCTGGCTTCACAGTGGCCAACAGTCCATATGGAGAAACAGCTGCCTCATCTCAAACTTTCCAATTTGTCCAGCAGGAAATTTTACAGCACTTCATGCGGGTTTAGCTTCAAGTATCTGACTTGCTTTGAGGAACGAAACAAAACTTCTATACATTTCTCCGAGATGCTGAACAGTTTTACTGGGAATTAGTCCCAGATAAACAATATGACTTTAAAAAAGAATCTACCTAAGAATAGAAAATATCACCAAGAAATTCCAACGAAGAGGAGATTGTGGTTACAAAGTACAACTGAAAGTCATGCAAGTGAATTTTAGTGGAGAATTTGTGTTTAAAAAAAACAACAACATACACAGTTCTTCAATGCACGACATATAGATAGCCAGGCTGCAGCACTTCCACTTTTAGCATTGTCCCACAGGGCTGGATGTGAGCGAGTCCATCCATCCCCCGCATATGCCTGAACCTGTCACAGATTTACCATCAAATTCTGGTGCTTAACCATAATACCACAGCAGTATGTGGAGGGAAAATGACAAGGGCAATGGAATTTCAGTAGGTACAAAAGGGGAGGGGGATTTGAGAGAAACAGCAAGTCACAGCGAAGTCCAGGTGGTACTGCACCGGGAAGCCAGAGGTTCTGCGGTATCGATCGGCACCAACACCTCCCGGGGCATGCGGGCTGGCCCGTGCCAAAGCAGAACATATGGGTCTCACACAACAAGTGAAGGACAAGAGCTTTCAGTTTTCTGTCACAGAGCCATACAAGCGTGGGCAGAGTCCCAAACGCAGAAGAGCATATGCGCATGACTGTACCGCCTCATACAGGAGAGTACATTCATTCATTAATACACCAGAGTGGGCAAGGAATCTAATCAGCAGAACATGTTACTAGTATTATAAATCATATTTTCCTGCAGCGGGCTAAAGGCAAGGGGGAAAAAATGGGAGCTGGGCTAGAAAAATGACACTTCCAACTAAACAAACGAGTTTAGAAGAGATTCAACAGGGAACGGCGGGAAGTCTATAAATCATGAGCAGCCACAGGGGGCTTTGGGGGGGGGAAAACGGCAGGAGGAAGGAGAGAATAGGCTGCATGTTCATCTTGCACCAGCTAGGTGTCACCTCTGCTAAAAAAAATGTTGGTTTCATCGCTGCAGTCAAGGCTAGATCGCCTGCTTATGACCAGCCATCTGTAATGCAGCCCCCCGACACACTCAGCTGGCCTCGAACAGAGCGGGCTGAATTCAAAACGCCCACCATGTAGGTATCAGGATGGTCGGGTTATGGGGCGAGTCCACGTGAGGTCGCCACGATGACTCACAGCACCCCACCGCAAACCAGCTGACCATTCCATGAATTTACTGGAACAGCTTGCTCTGGTTAAGCAAGACTTCCATGAAGTATTCAGGCTGAAAACCTTTTTTTTCCCCCCTCCCACCACCATCCAGCCAGACTGAATTAAAACCAATTTAGCCTACTGACCGTCTAGATCAGATATCTCACACTCGAGACGTGGACTGCCATGCGAGTATAACTTAACTTTTGGACCAGGCGTGTTCTTTTCGAGCCAGGCAATGAAAGCACACATACAGCCCTCGGGGGCAAGGGGGGGGGGGGGGGGTAGCCAAAACAGTCAACCTTGCTGGAAAATGCAATAGAAGAAACATCTTTAAAATATGACTGCTACCCATCTACTAAAGAGAAGTCTAAATTTTGCTAAATTACAGACAATTCACTTTCCAGAAATATGTCGCTTCAGGGACCTCACACGTAATTGCTTTTCACCATGCAATTACGCGACGCTTGCTCGACAACGTCGAGATTTAAGATGTAACAAATCACATCTTAAATCTCAATGTGACGTCAGCTGAAAGCTGCACACACAGGTAATTAAATAGATCAACCACGCTGCGCCTCATCAAGCCCGTTAAATACTGCACATATGACGAGCCTAAGACCTGGTTAAGACAAGAGAATATCTGACAGGCCGTGCAGAAGTTCTCTCGCTGCCAGGTATTCTGACTGCATGGTAGGAAGAGAAATGGCTCATCATTCTTCAGATGAGCACACTCAAATGGAGTTTCATCTTCTGGCTTTCCCAACAAATAAACGTTTAAAGAGAAATTATCCTGATTCACTTAAGCATGGGAGAAAGGGGGATGCCGAAATCCTTCGTGATGACCAGATCAGACGGCCTGTTCAAGTATCAGTGGGGCTTTCCTGCCTGCATTCCCACTCATGAGAACTGGACCTCTGACCTCATTTGATGGGATGAGGCACTAGGTTCAAAACCACCACCCCTCTAATCATTTCACAAGAACCAATGTGTGTATTAAGGTCAACAAGGTGCACAGCCCATACTTCAGTTCATCCAGTTCTCACGGGTCTGCTCCCGTTGTGGAGAAGACATTAACCCCGTCCTCAGTATGCAATTCCCTGCCACTGAAGGGGTAATCAAATGATAGATTATGCTTTACATCACACAATTCAGACCCAGCCCTGGCCCACATTCAGTTACTAGGTTGTCAAAAGCTTTTGTGAAACCAAATGCAGACAGTAGCCTTTCAAAAAGTTTTGTATTGCACAGCCTTTCACATACAACACACTAAATAACCTACGCTTCTCGCCCCACTACTGTGATGCATTTCGCCGATGTGCCCGACATCATAACCCGCGTTAACTGACAGATGGTGACCTCCTATAAGTTCTAGAGAGGGAAACGCACAGTACGCCTAGACATATTTAGTATGCATACTTAGTATGGTTAGATATCAGTTAAACTCAAGACACAGTAAGAGGGTCTGTACAAAATAAGGTTACTTTGAAGAATAAAAACAATTACATAAGTGTGACGAGTGAGAATCTAGTTCATCCCTATTCTGTAAAGCATTTTTCTGTAGCTGCGAAGCAATTTATGAGTATAGTTTATAGGGGGAGGGTCCATCCACAAACCATACATACCCCTTAAAATAGAGCGCATTACAACTGCTAGGGAAGGCAGAAGGAAACGGCTATTCAAAACTCATCCAGTTACGCCATCAGATTGGTGGAGGATCATTAATTCGCCCTTGCGAACTGTCCAGATGCTTCTGCTTATGCAGCATCCAGTCACAAAAAAAAATAAAAATCCAAGAGGCTCCCCCCAAGCACTTTAAATCATCATACAGATTCCACAGATTAAAAGGTGCCAATTGGAACAATGCGGCAAAGCATTCAAGGAAGGTAGACGTACCAACACAACACGCTAGGCTTCTCCCAGCTGGCTCCGAGGCTACAGTGCAACCTTTAATTGGATTTGCTATTCCTTCTGCTGGCTAGTCTCTCGCATGGCTTCTCTCTTTAGAAGCAATTAAGCCGATTAAAGCCTGAGCGGATCCCCACATGTCCCTGCGTCTAGATTCAAAATGGAGGCCCCAAAAACACACTGAACTGTCAGCAGACCAAGTGTGGCAGAGCTCTCCTGGATGTTCTCTCTATCCGAGAGTGCTAACCCTCGAATCAGCCAGCGTCGGTTTATCTGCTCAATGCTGCCTCCCATCCTCTACCATAGAAAGCCGTCCAAAGAAATGAAGAGTCTTGCTAAATAATCGACCCATTTTCAAACACCCATCCAATCAGTGTTGGGAACCCAGAGGGGAAACACTTGACAGAAAGGGCATGTCCCAGGACAGAAGCAGCTCACTGTGTGTAACTTTCCCCTTAGTCTAACAGAATGAGTATCCTGCAAAATTCAGATTTTTTTTACTGTCATTTTAGCTTAATATTATTCTGTAGCAAAAAGACCTGCACCTCATTTTTTACTACTCAGTTGCTTGACTACAATACATAATAGGAACAATAAAATGACACACAGCATACTACAACACAGCTAGCAAATACACACAACACACAGTGGGATGCTTATTCCTGCCAACAATCGCGAGTCACACCAGTGTTCCAGGCTCATTGAAATTGACTCAAATTCTCAATTCCCATCCCTTATCAAGATGAGAACAAAGAAATATTTGCTTGGTAAAAAAAAGAGGGGCATTTCTCTGGCCAGCCACTGGGGGAGCCCTAGATGGGGGTCATCTCCCCCATTACAGCTTGTAAGAAGCTTACTGAAGCTGATATCACTAGGCATGGAGAAATTAACAAAATAACTGCCTCCTTCAAAACTTTAGCTTCTGAAAGCAGTGCAAAGAAAATACATAAATCTGACTACGGCCACAAAATGTTTGATATGTTTCTATGCAACTCTATGCTTAGGGCAGGTCATTAAGCACACACTACCTCGGACTGACATTGTACACATTGTAATCAGATACTCACACTGTAATAGGATGGCCGTTTTTTTGTGTGTTGCTCTTATTTCTTATTTAATACTTTAACTTATGCTGCTAAACAGGGAGCTGCTAAACTGTTTTTGTAATATTCACAATGAAGATCTATCTTACATAATAAAACAACGCAAAAAATCCAAGAAAATCAGAACACAGGAAGACCTTTACACAATCTATATTAAGTGAGCTGGTAAACTACGTGTAAATGACAATTAAACTCAACTATCAATGGCAGAAAAAATTCATACGCCACATCTTTATTCTGCACATCCATCCTAGAAATCAAACATGGACACGTCCAGTGAGGTGAACGGTCTGAATGGAAGGGCGCCAAACTGTGGTAGATTCCACCACATAACAGACCCAATATGCCTCCCCTCCCGGGCCTACTAATGTCCAATTTTACTTCCACAAAGGTACACTCCTCGTCCACTTCATTCAGCAGATGGCATACACCTCCCAGATAGCACATGATATATGGATATATGTGGATGAATGGGTATATAAACATGAGTCTGGCTAGTTCCTGACAAGCGAGCTGAGAAAAGACAAACCACCTCCCACAACAAAAAAAAAAAAAAATGTGGGAGAAAATGTATGTATACATACAAACAGTCCAATTTAAATAATTTAAGATTTCAACAAAACATTTAGCATTAAATTTAATCTAGTCCACTCAGTCAGTAAAAATTAATTCAAATATCAAAAACAAGCTTTTGGTGATTCACTGATTTGAATTTAGGATCACGTGGTGTTTAAAGAAAAACAACAAAAAAAAAAATCACATGATTTAAGCATGATCTTCCTGAATGTATAAGTACACAATCTACCCTATATAGCCTTGCAGTGCAAAGTTATCCTAGCAACAGTTTCAGCCAATGAGGGGAGAGCAAGTGGCTGATTCTAAGTGCCAATAGAAAACAGTATTTGGGACAGCCTTTGAGTGCATCTCCTTGGAAACTTCTCCAGTAAAATTCCTTTCCTGTCCACCTGAATTGTTGCTCACCCATAATGAAAACCCAAAAGTCATTTCCTTAAATGATCCCGACAGAACTCAGATCCGGAAAAGGGGTGGACACAAATCACAGGGCGCTAGTATATAGTGAACACAGAGATGACCCAGATAATCCCATGGAGCATTAAATCCATGTCTATATCCATCACTTTAATGAAAGCAGAAAAATGATTAACCCCAAAGGCCACCCCAAAGTCGCCCTCCCACCCTTTCATTTGCTTGAGGATCAGTCATTGTTCAGTTGACCTTTTATGACATGTGCCATAAATATGAATAAAATAGGTCTTTAGAGCTAGAAGTGTGCAGAGGGGCAACTGTGTTTTAGGTTAAAATATTTTCAGTGATGGATAGGGCTGTAACGATCATGAAATTTATGTTGGATTCAATGAGCCTGCATCTCTGACAGCCACCCAGTCTGGCTCCACACCTTTCACGCCGCCATTTTCATGGCCATTTAGACAGGCTTTTTAACCATGCCTGAAACATCCAAAAACAAATGATGAGAACCGGCCACAAGCACCAAGGACCTGGTTAAAATGTACATGGCAGGATAAATAAGACCAGAAAATCACGGCCCATTACAATGTCTCCAGGATGTAAAGCTGAGAACTTCCTTCCCAGTGCAGCCAAGCCATTCACAATGATAAAATTCATATCTGCCCATAGAGTCTCCTTCAGACCAAGGAACATGTGGTGATTAGAGCACTGAAGGACATTACCACACCGCCAGGACATCACAGGAAGAGAACAGATGCCAAATATGAGTGCCTGCGTTTGATTATTTGAATTGCACAGCAAGCAAAAAAATGCCTTCAAATTTAATTGCATCAAACAAAATATAACCATCGACGTGGTTTTTACAATCCTGAGAAGCAGTGGTCACTCAGCTAAGATCAAGCCAACGATAAACTTCCTTCTGCGGGGTATGTCCAACTTCGTGAAAATTTTATGAGAAGACAGTCTCTGACATCAAAGAACTCCATTAGAGTTAGCCGGATGAGCATGACATCTGAGCAAGAGATCGAGGGATGGCAAAACCTCAGTGAAGTGTCTACAGGAATTATGACTGGATTTGGCCGAGTAGAAGTCTTGACACACAAAACAAAAAATGACGATCACACACCACTTTGCAGAGATCGTCACCGTAGAGTGTTCTGGTAGTGATCCGTAGAGTTGGTGAGGATGCTGAGCAGAGCTGCTGAATCCAAACTGCAAGGCATGCCATTGATTTGTGCGCTTTGCAGCTAGAGCAAGGGGTAGGGATGTTGGCTGTTTTAGGCCCAAGTCATGCACACGGCAAAAAAATGGCTTCCTGTATAAGGACATTTATTTCGGTTTCATTGGGGAATTATCAATCCACCTTCTGAAAACTAGATAATAGAGCAACAGCTAATGGTGCACAAGAAAATTACCCTGGGAAGTTCCAGGGTTGCTTATGCGATAAGTTACTTGAATTACTTTTTAAACCAAAGCAGCCTATTTAGGATTCCATGTATCATGCACTTCAAAAACTGCTTGAGTTGTGCATGAGTAATAATAATTACTACATTAGCATCCGCGTTTGCAGCACTGAAAAAACACAATGAGTTTTCAACCAAGTATTACAAGTTATGATTAATTAGTTGGGACGAAATGGTTACCAGTTTCACAGTAAACTACTGTAAAATTCCCAACAGCTAGTATTACCGTTTCAAATTTTAATTAAAACAGTGATTGATTACCATGCTTTGAAAAACTCACATTAAATATCGTCTAGCAACAACCAAAGATAGCAGGTCTCCCACACGCAGGTGCTCAGGTAGTGTGTGGGTTTGTTTTTGTGTCATGGCAAGAGACATGTGGCAGCACTCTAGAGATGATTAATGTGCATTTTAATGTGCATTTGATGTCGTTTTCATGTGTTTACATATGGTATTGCCTATGTTCTCTTAACGTTTATGCAAACGAAACTAGCATAAGCCAAGTGCTGCTAATTTTATTCATGGTTTTCAATGTGAAATTTCACCAAATGATTCCAGCTTATGCGTCAGTAGTTTTTGAGCAAATTTTCATACCTCCATTTTTAATTGCCTTTTGGTAAAAATGTGACATGTGCATATGACACGGTAATGCAGACGGGCACTGGGTTCGGGAGGGATGTTACTTGAGATTTAAAAAGCAATGGCACCTGCTAATGGTTACAGAGGCAGACAGACTGCAAACACACACCCCCCCAAATGAAGAGAGCATTTTGATAAAAGGACAATAAGGAAGAAGTGTTACCTGGTAAGGGTGTACTCCCTGAGTCCTGAGTGCAGGTTCATGGCTGAAAATGTACCAATACAGCCCCTCAACCGCTTGTCCCGGCCTATTTTCCAAGTAACGAACAGCGGGCTGCAAGGAGAGGGAAACGGACCGTTAAAATGCAAGTTTGACACTGTACCGAGACTGCTGAGTGCAAGTGGGAATATTCCATACTGTCAGGTGCCTGTATCCCGGAAAGCTCAGTTACTAGTGTAATTCTACCAGGAAGGTTATGCACATTAAATGAAAGTGCGGACAGTAATTGCTTGCTAGGCATATTCGGATTTTTAAAGAAAGAAATAAAAGTCAACGTGAAAAATGTGACCCAAACACATACTGGTATTAACGAATTTAATAGTTTAAACTCCAACAGAGGGGCTGGGCAGAGGATTCTCTCTCTCTCTGTGACACACACACACACACACACACACACACACACACAAATTCTAAACTTTATATTTGGCGCCACATACCATCTCGAGAACACACTAAAAACCTAATGGAAATTCAGGCATCTGTGCTAATAATAGTTATTTTACTTTACACGGATAAATATACAATTCATATTGAGTCCCTACATTGCAGAGAGCCCCATATAAGGACAAAAGAGTATTTATAAGCATTTCTGTCACCAAAAATGACAGCAGAGAGGGAAACCGGCAGTAAGCGACAGAACTCCACTGGATTACGCTGGGAGATGCAGAGGGATTCTCGCGGTACCCCAGGCCCGTGAAGCTTCAGACGCGCATGCACCTGGCCGAGGTCCATCCGTCTGCGCCACATGCACGACACCGTCATCTCTGTGGCAACCCTCGCTCCCTTCTGGTGATTCAGGGTTACCAAGGCAACCAACTCTGCCAGCATGTTCCTTGCCACTCTTACAGCCCAGGCCCATGTCAGCAGCTGACATTTATCAGGACCAGGTGGCCGGCAAAGGCACACGACGCTGCTCTGTCAAAGGGGACGTGGCACTGCAAGGCCTCATGGGATTGCAATCTTTTTTACGGAAATGTCGAACTTTACAACACAATGTATATCCTCAAATTTACACAAGCAGAGTAGAAGGAAAAAGTAAATAAAACAAAAGCTGGGAAATCAAATACACAGCCACCGTCCCTTACTCACACAGATAAATAGATTACTTTCTCCACATGACTTCATTTAGGAAAAGGACCGAGAAAATGTCAGGTTCCTGCTGACGGACAATCGCTATCACGTATTTTAAAACAAACCTCTTGAAAAGCCTACAGAACTGACCACTGGACACAAATCGGAATTCCCCATTACAATACCCCCTTAAGCCGAAATTGTAGTAAGTTCCCATTTAATAATGCAGCTTAATTACAGCATTTCCCAAATTTGACAGCATGCGACGCAAATGTGAAATCCAGAAACTGTCTGACAAAGCACAGGTGCCTAACGATATGGGGATCAAATCCACTTTTAGTATTTTGGGAAATATATTTGCTGTAACAAAAAGAAATTTAAAAAAACCCACAAAAATTTGTTTTATATTTCACACACACGAGCTATTGTAACGGTTCATCTACTGAAAGTGCCCAGCATTTTGACGGCGTATACATATGTAGCCAATATGCCATCATTGCCGGTTTTTAAGCGGAAATCCCCTCAACTAACGAATACACTTACGTTTAATGCTAAGTACTTAAAAAAACGTTTTAAAAAAAACGGCCTTACGACCATCCGGCACGAGCACCGCGCCCCGGTATCCGGTGTCCGCGTGAATAGTTTATTTGCGCGTGCGTGTCATGTGGTAGGGTGAACGAGGGAGCCTCGCGAGCTCGGACACCTTCATGCACCGCCGAACTGCGCAGCCGTCAGACACAAATTAAACCCGGGGGGTGGCTTACACCCCGTGGACTCGGGTGTCCTTCTCGGTATTAACATCTTTTATTCTTGCGCTGGGGAAAACCCCCGTTTGTTTTCTTTTTTTTTAATGCAGGCAACAGTCTGGGAACGGTCATAAATCGAGAAAAACAGGCGCCTAGACGCGCAAACAGCTGTGGCTCACCCACGCGAAAGACAAGAAGCCCGCCGAAGAGCGGCTTACGTTACACCAAAAACGCCGCGGTGTGACCGACCGGCAAAACGTGTTAGGTGATGGGCACAGGAGGGCAACACTGAACCGTCACAACAGGGTCGGAGACAAAGCCTTTTTTTCCAGTAACTACCATTGGCTAGGTGACATTGTACAGCACATTGACAACAGCATCGCAGTCACTGGAAGGGGGCAAGGGCATATCTTTGGGTTGAGCATTAGGGGTTGAGGTCTCCACCAATTGAAGGGGAACTGGGGGTTGTATTCCCCCCCCCCCCCCATAATTTACGCCCTGAAGGGGGTATTTTTGTGGAAGTCAAGGTTATTCACTCGTTTTCATCTTTTTTTGCTGTATAATTAAAGTGTCTTGTTAATGGTTAAACACCAAAATGCCTGCGACTGGGACTCAGTTTCTTCACTGGCAAGGTACCTACTCATTTCAGACTGTACCCTGGGTAGTTTGAACAAGGAGATGGTTGCAGATTTGTCAGATTTGCAGACAGTATTGGCTACATATACAGTCTGAAAATTGATTCTTTTTGAATCCATCCCAACCAACTCCGCGTGACTAACCGGAATCTGACGCACACACACACAGACTAGCAAACTCATCCAGTCACACAGCTCGAGAAATTAAAAGTGGGATCATGAAACCTCCTCTAACAAATTACTTCTGTCTTATTACATTCCTTCTCATTAATAGACATTATGGCCACTTAGTAAAGAAAAACGACTCTACCACAAGGCAAATTTAGTCAGCGGAAATTATACGTTGCTGGTCTGTCTGCCCATCAATACTGGGGTATCTACACTTACAATGTGAAAGACTGACAGTAAGCTTCTATAATAGCAAACATTACACTGATAACACAAAGCACATCCTAATAACTCATCATAAGCTTCGGATCCACCTCTGCTTTTACGTCACCAGTAAGTAAACAGTCAATAACGCCACAGCAGGACGCAGTTAAAATATCTTCTGCAGGCGGTGACCTGGCAGGTTTAGACAGTAATGGTTTGTGACTGTTTGCAGAGAGAGCTGCGCTTCATACATTTGCACCTAGACCACAGCAAGCACAGACACAAAACAGGCGGCATCTTCGTCAGTCAGAAGTTGCTTCAAGTCATGTCAGAGAAAGCAGTGCCGACGAATGAGACGCGATTTTGCATGCGCGCGTCGCGATGACCATGCCGAAACGATTCATTGTGCAGCCCTGCTTCTGAACGTCACCAGAAAACAGCAGATTCCTAAATCTCAGTTCTCTAGGGTTTCAAGAAAAAGGACTTCAAGAAATATCCCAACAGTTGCAACCAATAGTAACCTGCTAAACAACCAATCACAGACTGATGCAGCTGAACTGGTACGAAACTAAAACCTTAGTGTGACTAGAAAGCCGACCATCCTAGCGTGAAAAACACCTCCAGTTGGGTTTGATTCTTCTCCATCAGATTGCAGGAAAGGGATTTTTGTTTTTGTTGACATGCCAACATATCTCACATTGTCCTATACATGAACACACATCACTATTGTCCTTATAAATAAATTAAAAAAAATACATCACCACTGAAATCCTACAAATGAAAGGAAAGGACATTGAACTGATACAGCTTAGGAAAAAATTAAGAGACCACAGCAAAATTTTCAGGTTTCACTCATTTCTCAATTTATGGGTATGTTTCTGTGTAAAATATACAGCCTGGCTCTTCCCTGCTTCTCATTGATGAAGGGCTTCTTCCTTGCTTTATGGGTCTTCAGTCCTGCTTCAATGAATCTTATGAGTTGTCCTAGCAGTGCACTTCACACCACTTAATGTTTCCCATTCATTTTCAAGGTCACTTGATGTCATCCTCCGATTTGTGCGGCACTGCCGGAAAAGTTGACGATCATCTCTGACATTAGAAAGTTCCTTTACCTGCCTGGTTTTTGGTCATTTCCAGTGTCTCCTGCTTCACCTTAGAAACTGTCTTAGAAACTTTGAACTTGGCAGCAGTCTGCCATGCAGTGCAGCCTTCTACCAGCAGAATCAGGATTAAACCAGGATGTTTTTTTTTAAATATATAGAATGATCTCAGTATATCCTGCTCAGTAGGTGAACCAGAGTGATAGAGGAACAGAGTGGAAGGCCAGAAGACTGACAGCATCTTCCCTCTTTTGGGTCACACTCCCACCTGCATTTGAACAGCACAATTCCAGAAGAACTTAAGGAACCTGTGTGCAGTTTTTGTCCTGCTGAGATACCTGATGCTCTCTGTAAGGGTAGGGTGGGAGGGTGTAGAAAATTGTACGTGTAGAAAATAACTGAGGGGAAAAATGTGGTATATCAGGGAAGGGTGCTGCTATCGAGGTGCAGAGAACAGCAGTCAGAGGTATGAGGCCCCGAGATGAGAGGAGAAATGACCCTCTGAGAGGAGAAAAAGAGTTTCTTGAAAAGTTTAGGTGGCATGAGGGGAGGGAGGGTTCCACATTCCAATGGCAGACATCTTTGTTGAATACTGGGGGGGGGGGGGGGGATCAGAATTCTTCTTCTTTTACCAAATGGCCTCAGTTTTAGGGTATTAGGCAAAAGCAAAACGATTTATGGAAAATGCACAATGACCAAAAAAATAATAATTTTTTGACAGGGGATAGAGCCAGACCACATGACCCATGGAAGTCACTTTACCTAGGAGCCCAGGGCTTTGAGTCCAACTAAGAGGAAACTCTTAGATGACAAAAGCCCACTAACTACCCATCAACCTTAAAGTCATGTCAATCAGTACAGTTTGAGGAGGACATATCTACCCCTTCCTAGATCCTCCCAGTTACACAGAGTCTTTCTATTAATAAAAAGCCAGCTGGGGATTCACAGTATCTCCACCCTTGGCCTACCACCACCCCCATCTGCTTCCTGTTGCTTCTTCCAAATTCCCCACTATGAGGAACCTTCCCTTGACCTTGAGCCAATGGAGAGTGGGCGCTCCGAAGGGATCAAAAGATTAGACTGCCTTTCGGCGGCACCTGGGACGTCCTCCGGGCTGCCCGCCTACTCAG